GGTCAATGACATGAGACAAAGTATATGTGAACTGCTGTATGAAAAGTGAATTTACTCTGTAAATCTTCACCCAAATCAAAATAAAATTAAAAAAAGAAAAACAATAAAAAACAAAATAAATAAAAATAAAAATAATAAACACCAATTATAGAGAAAAGTTCAGGTGGATTTATATTTAAAAGTTGGCATATTCAAAACATATGAATATTTAAACAAACTATTATTTATTTCTCTGAGGAACCAGTTTATCATATATTGAATAAGACTGCAACAGAGTTTTAAAAAATTCATAGGTTGATTAAAGGATTTTTAAAGACACTAACAAACTCACAATGTTTCGGGTGTCTATTCCCAAAGAGCACAAAAGCTTCTTGTTACTATGGGAACCGCCCCACTGATATCGCAAGCCATGTGCATCGTGGATATCCTGAAGCTCAGCCCACACATCCAGCAGTTCCCTGCAAAGTTCACAATGAAGCCACCAACAGGTTACTTCACAGCTTTCATCATACATTCTACTTTTAATGACTATAACGTATTATATATTGCAGTAACCTTGTGTCTAAAATGAGCATACAACTATTATATGCACAGAACCAACAGTCAACACTTACAGTCATTAGGAAAGTAATGACTATAAGTTAAACAAATTTGGAACAGATCAAGCAGAAATTTAACCTGGATGTTATTCTTTTTTTACTGTTTTTTAAAAGAAAATTAAAGGCAGCAAAAAAATCATTCATACCCCACCATCTTAATACAGCAATCCAGTATCTGTGTTTTGTCCTTGAGTCTTGGTTTACAAACACCCAGTTGGTTACAGCAACATATATAAATTGTATTCTTTTTTTATTTCCTAGTCTACATATGTATCTTTCTTAATGGCTGCCATTATTTATTTAGCTACTGTCCTACAGTTTTATAGAAATTGTTTTCACTGTTTGACTCTTATTGTTAGTAGTGTGGTGCAGTGAATTATTTAATATGGCCCTTCTAGCCACAGTCTTTGTGACTCCACACGTTTAGGTGAGACTGTGCAAATTAAGGAATTCTGGTGGCACACTGGTTAACACATTTGGCTGCTAACCAAAAAGGTCAGCAGTTTGAAACCACAGAAGAAAGATGAGGCAATCTGCTTCCATAAAGATTTACAGCCTTGGAAACCCTATGGGGCAATTCTACTTTGTCCTATAGAGTCACAATGAGTTGTAAACCACTGGATGGCAGTGGGTTTTTTAATGTATATTAGGTGCTTGTGGCCACCAAGGGGATTGGACAGCTTGCTGCTAATGCAAATAATGCTCATGGGACCCTTGTGGAGGAGGCGCCATGCAAATAAAGTGTATGGAACCCTAACAGGGGGACCTATCACTCTTGCCATCCTGTTGTTGTTGTTATGTGCCGTCAAGGTGGCCCCGACTCACAGCGACCCCTCCTTGGGTTTCCAAGGCAGTAGGTATCACTTCGGAAGTAGATTGCCCAACCTTCCTTCCAAGGAGTGGCTGGTGGGTTTGAACCACCAGCCTTCTGGTTAGTAGTCAAGTACCTTAGGCACTATGCTACCAGAACTCCTCTTGCCATCCTACTAGGCTTAAAACGAGTCATCCCAGAGGCTGAGAGAGAGGATCTCACTAAACCAAAAAATAAACCCACTGCTATCAAGTTGATTCTAACTTACAGGGGGATCTCACTACCTCACTACCATCAAGAAAGGAGAGCCAGGAGTGGAGCATGTCCTCAGAATCCAGGGTCATTGCACTAAGAACTTCTTGGGGGGGGGGGCACGAGTGGTAACACCAGAAACAGCACAAGATAGTGAGAAGTGGCAAAAAAAAATGCTGGTAAAAGAACCAACCAGGAAACTAGTGTGAGATGGCACAGTGGGCTTCCTAGCCTACAGAGCAAGGCAGCTCTAGTGTGTATGCCGACCCACGGAATAAGAGGTGAGTGTCTTTGGACATGAGGCTTCCTGGTAGAGCAGAGTGCCTCTGGGCACTTAGCTGAGGAGCTAAAGAGCTCTGTAACACTCGTCTGAACAGGGCAAAGGCCTAAGCAAGGCAAAGGGCCAAGAGAAGAGGCCTGTCCTCAGGTGGCTGAAAGAAGCCTTACAAAGCTGAGAGGAGCTGGCAGAGCTGTCCTGCACTGAAGAAGGGAGAGTTTGTCCTGATCCTGATCCCAAGTTGTAGCTTGTTGATTGTGATGCTGAATTGTAACCTATTACTTTCCTAAATAACCCCCCCCCCCAAAAAAAAAAGGCTGGAGGAGTATGTGTGACTTTTACCTCATAGAAATCAGCTTTGGGCTGACAATCAATCTTGATTCTCTTTCCCCCTTGTGAAGTTAGAGGGTACCACACCATTTTCACAGCAAGGCAATAAATACACCTTCCTGCATTTTATGGTATGTGCTGTTGCACACTGCATGAATTCCTTAGAATTAATCCCTTGGAGAGAGATTATTGGGTCCCTAGAGTTTGAATTTTTTGAATCTCTATCTGTATAACTAGTACATCTTTAAAAAAAAAAAAACCTAAGCAGTTTTAAAATGGCAGAAATGTAAACTTTTCTGTCCTCTTTATTCTCAGAAATCACCCCACAATAAAAAAAAAGGACCAGCAACACAATCTCTATTTTCAATTAAATTAAAAGGTACTTAAGACCCTAACCCACAAATATTAAGGTCACATATAACGAAGGAATAGTAACTGACTTAGCAGAATAGTAGAAGGAGAGACCTGTAGAGGGAGAGGGTTAAGATGCAAGAGAACAGCCCAGGAGTAAGAATAACTTTAAAATTAAAGTAAGAACTTTTAACATCCAACTAATAGGAATTCTAGAAAGAGAAAACTAGAGACAATAGAAAACAATCATCAGAGTACTAGTATAAGGAAAAGGAGCTCTGGTGGCACAGTGCATAAGGCATTTGAGTGCTAATCAGATGGTTGGTGGTTCAATCACACCAGCCACTCTATGGAAGAAAGACTGGGCAATCTACTTCTGTAAAGATTTACCACCTCGGAAACCCAAAGGGGGTTGCTATGAGTCAGAACTGAATCAATGGCAGTGAGTTTGGGTTTTTGTTTTTGAGCATAAGGTATCTAATACTAAAGAATAGATCCTCTAGATTGAAAGGTTTTACCTAATATCCAGCTCAATTAAGTAAAAAAAAAAAAAGCGTCAAGATACTTCATTGTGAAATTTCTAATACCAGCAATAATGAAAAGATTCTAAACTGTAAGTTTAATGTGAGGATAAAATAAAACAAAAATTTCTACCACCCCCCATGCAGCCCAATCAACAGTTAAGCTATGAGAGAATGTGCTCTACCAAAACAGGATCTCAGTGAGGGAAGTACAACACATGTGAGAAGCCATGGTTGAAATGATTCAAGATCAAAACAGAAAATGCTCCATTGAGCATACAGCCTAAGAGGTTTGATCACAAATAAAACTGTATTAACAGACTGTTGGAGGATATGGAAATTCATTGCCATGGAGCCACTCTGACTCATAGCAACCCTACAGGAGAGAGTAGAAACTGCCTGATAGGGTTTCTAAGGCTATAAATCTTTATGGAAGCCTCATCCTTGTCCTGCAGAGTGGCTGGTGGATTTGAACTGCTAAACTTTTTTGGTTAGTTGCTGAATGCCTTGACCACTGTACCACCACAGCTCCTTATATATAAAGATTCAGTAAATTTGGGGGGTGGGGCAGAGAACGGCAGTTGTTAAGTCTGGGAAAAAGGTATATTACATATAAAGGAAACAGTGGTTTACAACAACAAACAATCCACTGCTGTCGAGTGGGATCTGACTCATAGCGACCCCTCCCTTGGGTTTCCGAGCGGTATCACTATGCGAGAAGATTGCCCAACCTTCCTTCCGAGGAGTGGCTGGGGGGTTTGAAGCACCAGCCTTCTGGTTACCAGTCAAATGCCTTAGGCGCTAAGCCACAGTGATTTAGCAGTAAAGAATATTTACATAATTGTAATAATGAAACACCAAATTATAATTTAATTAAAAACTGTGATTGGGAGTATACTGGGAGGATGAAAGGAGGCAAAAGTAGGTATAATCAAAATTTGTATCATACTATGAAGTCAAGAGATACATAATAGATCGAGTAGAATGTCAATTTAGAACTATCAAAAGAAACAGCTTAAAAGTAGAGGCAGGAACATTTCATTGTAAGTTTAATGTTTTAAGATTTGATTTTTTTTTTTTTTTTTTTAAAGCTTAATGTTTTAAGGTAGGCTTATAAATTGGGAGCTGTGGTGGCTCAGTGCCTAATATAAATTGGAACCGCTGAAACTAACAAAAATACACATGATCCAAAAATTGTCTACTACTTACCCACTTTCAGCTAAGGCCTCTCTTGTTTTTATTGGCAAGGTGCTTGTTTCCAGCAAGTGCTTCAGAGAAGTAACTTCCTCTTCAGCATCAGGGACAGATATAGAAGGAAAACATCCTTCAAAAATTCGCTCCAGGCGGTTTAGTAAAGCTGTCTGAATCAAAACACCCCCAAAAGATTATTTTCATTTCTCTAATTTTAATAATGCTATAGTTTTATCAGTAACACCCCAGCCCCACCCTCCATTACTGTGACAGAGGGAGGGAAATCACCATCAGGTACAGGAAACCCTGAATGAAAGGAACATTACTATTCATAGAACACTTGCTTTAAATGTTAGATTACTTTAAATAATCATGGTGATGATACAGTAGGTGCCAAATACATGTAGCTACACGCCAAACACCATACCTGGTACTTTACAAATATTATCACATTTAATCCATTTCCAAATTCTATAAAGAAGAAATATTACACAGTTGTATAGTGAAAAGGCAATCTCAAAGTTTGAATAATCTGCTCAAAACAAAACAACCCAACTTAACAGCCTGCATGCATATTCTTTTCATCACCCTGGACTAGCTCTTACTACCACTTTTGTACTTTGCAATTAGGAACAGTAAGATTGGATGATTCTGAAAAGTATCATGCTATCAACACTGAATAAGAACTCTTCTCTTGGACATAGATACTTGAATTTTGACACGCTTTAAAAAAATCTCTCTGCAGTTATCAGTACAAACCAAAGTAGGAAAGAATATCTCAATTTTTACACAAGGAATCCAACAGCACATTTATCATTTTGGTGAACTGAATTATCTTTTAGAAATTCCATCTATCTACTACTCTTCTATGGTACGTATGTGTGTGTGTGTGTATTTGAATAGAAAACTACCTTCTCTACAAACAAAGCCTGAATATTCTCTAGAGTATTTTTACCAAGTTCAGACTGATAAATCTGGAGTATTTTCATTAATTAAAATTTGTTGGATTTAAATTAATTTACATTTTTGCGGTGCTACTAGATTTAATCTACAGGTACAACCTCATATACAATTTATTCCCTCTTTTCTAATTGTATTTCAGGTAGCTTTCAATTTAGTACAATTTACTACTTAAACATCAAATAGGAATACAAACTCTTAATAAATCCTCTGTAAGATGAATTGTACTATTGAAATGGCACTCGGTGAACAAGAACATGACACATCATGGTTGTACTACCTGCCAAGTAACAAAGTACAAGTTAATACTTGATTTCTGTTGTGTAGTATAGAAAGCAACCAAGGAAATTAAAAAGAAATGGAAAAATTTTCACAAACATATTTTCCAAACCCAAATATCTCTTTGGATGCTGAATCGGGGCAAAAAGCTCAGCAGTGCATAATTAATCTCAGGGTACTCTTATGTTAACTCTACATAAGTTACTCTAACACCTTCATTATATTCCTGTGTATGATATGGGAAAAGCTTCTTACTATCAATTATGAAACCTAAAGTAAAGGGGAGGCTCAAGATCCCAAGGCTTATGAAACCTGAGTGCATCAAGGGGATGCAGCATTTACTCTCTTCAACAGAGGGGTAAGGACAGACCTGACTTTGAAAGGGATCAGATAACCATCTAATTGGAAACATGATGCAGCGCTGGCTCCTCCTGGGTAGGGAAGGTAAACAAAAACTCACACATAACTACATTTTATTTCTCTGTAAATTAAAACAGACTCTTGTATCCTCTTTGTTACTCTTTTAATGGAATAGAAACAAAAATGTTTTATCAAAGGAAGAAAGAAATGACTTTACTACACATTCACTTATATTGAGCTATACCAGGTTGTTGGTTAAGCAGTGAGCAAATTCTCAAATTAGTAGAATGTCCTGGAAGAAACTAACCATTAACTTAATCATACCACTTCAATTTTTACTTTCTGTTTTCCATGAAAGATATACAGTAAAACCTGTGAAAGCCAGAACACATGTGAGGCGGAAACCTGTTAGAGAAGGAAAACACAAATATCTTCCACTAAAATGAGCGAAAGAAAAGTGTAAGACTGCACTGTCAAAGGCAGGAAACTTGTGAGACCGGGAAAAACAAGGTAGTCTTGCTGAATTCTGGCTCTCACAGGTTTCACTGTACATGACACTGAAATTTAAAAAGAAAGTTCTGTATCTCTTTAGGAGTAGATACTAAATTTGATTACTTCAAATCTTTTGTTGAATGAGGCAGAAGACAGCAAGGGCAGAGACTCTTTTCTATATAAGGCTAGACAGTAAAGATTTTAGGCTCTGCAGGCTACCCATAAACAAATAAATGTAGATGAGTTCCAGTAAAATTTCATATACAAAACAGGTGACAAGACAGATTTGTCCCATGGGTTACAGTCTGCCAGTCCCTGAGACAGAGCAATAATAACTAACTAGATTCAAATAACCAGAGTCTACTCACTAACTGAACAGCATTGCCCACTGCAAAGAATTCAGCTAAGTGGCTAAAAGAATTAGCAAAGATTATGATTAACATAAAACTGGCTCTGACGTTTACTTTTAAAACAAAATCAACTTTTAGCTATCACAAAGCCAGTGTGATGGTAAGGGTATCCTTTAAAATAAGTTTCTTATTACTATCTTGCTCATGATAATAAATAATGCCACATTTCATTTACCACTATGCATTGGAGTAGGTAAATGATTGATGGAATTACAACAATTCAATAGACAGCTGTGGACCCAAGGGCTGAGACTCAGTTTCTGCATTTATAAACTGGAGATATCAGGGCTTACTTCACAGGATGGATGTAGAATTAGAGGATTAAATACTTAGCACCTAGTATGCTGCTCAAGGGGTGGTAGCTTTTACTACTACTATTGCTCTTATACAGATGATACAAAAAGACACAGTGGTTTGCCAGGGAATAAAATAAATGTTAAAACTAGGCTTGAAGCTCACTAAGGATGTTTCTCTATTGATATTTAGTACTTTAAATCATTATGAAAGTACCTATATCTCAATTTAACAATTTCTATCTACCATTATGAAAGAATGAGAAATTAAATAATTCAAGTTATCTGTATCCTTCCAGAGACCTTCCTATTGAGTTGGGGGGTGGGGTTAGTTCTAAAATATCTATTTTCACAGCCTTTTAGGAGCTCTGGTGGCATAGTGTCAAAGGCATTTGACTGCTAACCAGAAGGCTGGTGGTTCAAACCCACCAGTCACTACTCCAAAGAAAGACTGGGCTATCTACTCCCATAGTGATACAGCCTCGGAAACTCAAAGAGGGGCCACTATGAGTCAGATTCCACTCAACACAGTGAGTTTTTTTTTTTTTTTTTAATATAAATAGAACTCTTATTGCTACTCCTTGTGGAAATATTAGAAATTAGTGACCATTTTGACTGACCTGGTGTTTGTGTCTTAAATCCTGATTACATTATGAAATACAAAGTATATAAACCATAATGTTAGGAATGCTTAAAAGCACTTTTTTTTTTTTTTTTTCAAAAAAGCAAAATAAAGTTCAAAGTTCAACAACATGTTAGGGCATAGTCCAAAACTTGATAAGTATAACAGGTAAGAAAATAACATAATGCTGGGAAGAAGAGAAATTAATCTACCACAGACAGGAATAATTCTTTTGTTACCAAGTAGACAAGCTTCTTTCAAGAACCTAATTTTCTAAAACTGGACTGTAATCAGACACTAAATTTTTTAAAAGTCATCATTTTGAGCATAATATTTGAGCATATGAGATAAAATATGTATCGAAGCTGTGATACAGGCAAAAGTTTCATTGTATGTGGTAAATTTACTGAATAATTTTAATTGTTTTTAAGTATATATAGTTTTTCTCTCAACATTATGATCTAAGGATAGTTTAATATGTGCAACAAGCTTAGACCAAATTAAGTAATAAAATTAGTATTACATTATAACTACAAAGTCAATAAGGCAAAGTATTATTTAAACATGGATTTATTCTGGATGAGTAAGAAGAAACTTTGTTTATATTACTACTTCTTAAATGAATTCCTGTTTCTACATAAAGTATTTAGCTACTATAGGACGTCTATCACTGGTTTTGAATAAATGGGAATACCACCAAATTTTTAAACTTGTATCTGATTAACTCAGAAAAAGAAGTCAATAATATGTAACAGGGCATGTGAATTTGTATTAGATGTAAAATTTCAAAAATAATTATACTCCATTATTTGGAATTTGTGGTATCGTCAGCCTGGGTGAACTCTAGTTTTTCCATGCAGATAAGGCAGTGTATGTAAGCATATGAGATCAATACAGTTCAAGAAACTGAGGGTCAAATTCAACAAAAGGTGGAAAGAAGGTTCTCAAAAACGTGGTCAGAAACTACAAAAGGTGGATATGGAGTATTAGGGTTTCTGTTTAATGTGTACACAGTGCTCACCGTGGGCCAGGCATTATTCTAAATATTTTACACATACAAACTCATTTAAGTCTAAGGAACCATATGAAGGCGCTAACAGTAATACTATTACCACCATTTTATAGATGAGGAAAACAGAGCACAGATAGATTAAGTAACTTGCCCACAGTCACATGAATTTTAAGTGGGGAGGAAGAACGTGAACCCAAGAAGTATAGCTTCAGAGTCTGTATTCTTAACTACTATAATATATTGTTGGCAGAGCAATGTGAAGTCTGAGTTCTAAAAACTACAGAAGCCTTGAGGGCAGGGATTATGTCTAATTCTTGAATTTCTAGTATCTAGATTTCTGTATAGTTAGTATTCCATAAATGCTAACTAAATCAGTGTGAACTGGACTTTAAAAAAAGAATATGACTTTTATTTGAGACTGCAGGGGGCATATTTGCTCTACTTACAGAAATATATCTTATTGTAAGCCATCTGAACTATTTTTGTAGGTAGGTTGGGTATTACAACATATATAAATAACAACAGCTGAATGTCTTCTATGCACTAGGTGCTTTGCTTGACACTGTACATATACTACATGATGAATCTTTTTTTTTTAAAAGAAAAAAAAAAAAAAAAGTTCAAGTACTGTTACTTTCACATTACAGAGGAAGAAACTGAAGCCCAGAGAGACTAAGAAGACTAACCACAGTCACAACTCCTGCTCGGTTGCACATCGAGGATCGAATCCATAGTCCAACTT